GTGTTTCTGCGGCAGTGTGGGAGCTCAGCTCCGCGCACCTGCGCATGCTGCTGGCTGTCGTTGCGCGGGTAGGGTTTTTAATTCAATCTATAGATGAGAGGAAAGGAATTTGAATTTTATTTCTGGAATAGCTTTGCTGCCTTTGCCTGTGTGTTTTGCTGGTGCAACAAGGCACTCTGCTCTTGATCTAACTCGGAATCATGAACATTTCCCTGACCTGGGTGTTGCAGATACCCCAGAGCCGTTCTGGCCCGTGCGGGTGTTGGAGCTGTGCACACGGACAGCGCTGGGCAGCGGAGGAAGAAATGCTGTGCTGGCAGCGCTGACGTGGGCCGATACTCAGTGAAGTGTGGCGGCTGTTGGGAGTAGAATGGGAAGATGCTTACTTAGTCACAATCTTCTCTACCGTTTTGCCACCGTTGTAACTTTAAAAGCGTTACTCTACCAGTGATTAATATTGAATCTGAACAATATTTTGTATTTTCAGCAAGGCAAATACCAAAGAAAGTTCTGACTAATAGTCTCCGATTAGACTGTCCTTGTCAAATTGACTAATGTGATGCAGTGCCGAGCCCGGGCTGACTGCACTGGAAGCCTTGTGCGGTTTTCTAGAGGATGCTCATTACAGGAGATTCCCACGTAATGTTGGACAGGCCACAAAGAGAATTGGGCTTGTCAGTCTTTTATCATGACAGTTCTTTAAAAATTAATGCACCCGTTTTGAAACGCAGAGACCTGCTTGTTCGTACATTTGCTGACAACACTACGGTGATGGTAGGTAAACGTGCAAGGTAGACTTCAGAAAATCAGCTCAGGCGTGGACTGCTCCACAGACCTATTAATGTAATGGAAGAGACTAATGCTCAGAAAATCAAATACGGACTATAACGCACTCATCCGTGTTATAAACCCTGTCATTCTGCTTCGATCAAAGGTCGTTTTAAGGCCTGATCTGAAACGACAATTTTAGCCTACCAAGCAGACCCCTGCTAACGTGGAAGGCAAGGCCATAACTTTGGAGCCCACGCATGATTATTTGCTCTGAGCTTGTCACGCAGTGACCCAGAATAACTGATCACAGGAACAGCTACGGCTGGAGGCCACCCCTGGCACCGGCACTCTGGAGCACAAAGACTTCGGGGAGCAAGAGTGGGGCTGATTTTCGTGCTCCCTCCTGCCAGGGGCGTGCTGCTGGCCACCCGTGCTCAGCTCCCGTGCCTGCTGGCAGGGAGGGGCTGGCGTGTGCTGCTGCGTCTGCTCCCGTGGCTCTCCTGGCAGCTCTGAGGAGAGCAGCAGCACTGGGAGGCTGGAGGTAGGGATGTGTCTTACACACTGGTGCTCAGTGGGGACTTCCAAAACGGTCTTCAGCACACAGTGAGTCACTGCTTCTTCTGCAGCTGCAACTTTTTAAGCAGGAGAATGAATCGGTGCTGTTCCAACCCAGTCGGTTCTCGTACAGAGATGTGGCAGAGGTGTGGGGATTACTTGGAGCTGCGCTGTCCGTTGTGCGCGCCTGGCACGCACACGCGAGAGATCCGCGGAAAGCCTTGCTGGATCCTTGGCATGAGTCCTGTCTGCTTTCGGTGTTCTGTGAAGTTACTCTGCGCAGCCTGTTGAAAATTATGAACTATTAACAGAGCTCTGGTCTCATCCATACACAGAGGTCTTTCACTGGCAATTGAAACCATCCAGATCCGGGGCGATGTCAGTCTGCATGCGCCTAGGCTGGATATGATGTTACTGGGTATGGAAATATATAATAATCTCTGTGTGTTACTTTTCCTGTACAGTTTGTATAGAATTTGCAGAAATGTAATTTCTCGTTAGAGTGCTCTTCACCTTGAAAGTGAAGTAATTTCTTATTTGAATGGCCTGCAAGCACAAGCTGAGTTTATCATGTAGGGCAGCTGATTACTGCGAGTCCTGGGGGACCAAATCAATGAAGGGAAGCAGTACCCCTTCTTGGTTACTTGGCTTATTTTGGGAAGTAGAGTTTTATATGTGTATTCTGGTAACAGGTTTCACACCCATGCCATAGGATTAATTTCAAATTATATGCTGCATTTCAAATTGCACTGAGTAAAAATTGTTGAAGTTCGGTAGACTCAGGGTTTGGGCATATAAATGCATGATGGAAATGTAGAATAAAGATTGAAGGGTGTTGGTTTGGGAGGAGGGGGGTGTTTCTGTTTGAAGGTAAGCTGCCTGATTTTCACCCCAGAGAAAGAAAATGCCTGGAGTGTTTCAGGTGTAGTAGCCGGTGCAGCATGATCCTAGTTTACCCCACAGTGAGCTTAGGGCTTCAGAATGCTGATCCGGTAGAGGCTTTGGCAACAGGGTAAACTGGGAGGATCTGGTGCGTATGGCATCCATACTTCCAGCAAGACCTACTAAGGGGGGATGCGGAGGATGCTTCGGAGTAAATTGGATAATTGCATGCTAGCGTTAACAGTACTAATTTCAAATTAATGCTCTTTGTTTTGACAAAAGAACCTAAGAGAAGACTTGTATTGCTGTGATTTCCAGCTTCTGGTCGGATGCTGGTGTACTGAGAACGAGTTACTGTCTGACTCCTGGGGAGCTGCCCCGCGTCTGACGGCTCCTCCGTGTCCGGGACTGTGTCCTGTTGTGAATTCTTTGGCGCGGTAAACGTCTTTCTGTCCTGTGAAGACAGGCTGTGTGCGGTGCATATGTCAAAGGGATCCTGGCCTGCGTTTAGGTTTTCTGGGTGACAGAGGAACGCAGTTCAGATTCGGGCTCACGCGTGTACCTGGCACGGCGTGCTCTAAGCTAGAGGGACCCAGAGTGATTTTGTTCAGGCCTCGCACGGACGGCAGCAGCTTCGTGCTGGGTCATCTCTGCGCTCGGCAGGGGTTGGTTTTGCCTTTCGAGAAGCTCTTGCTTCCAGAACTCGTTTGCTTCCCCCCGTACACGAACCCGACGTCGGGGGAAGGTGGTGGCGGGTCTTCCCCCTGCCCCTCTGACACCATCCTGCGTCTGCCAGCCCGGCTGCCAGCTGCCTGCGGTCGGCATTTCAAATGGAGAAACTGTAAACCGAATGTTACAGGCAAATTAAACATTTGCCATCTTCTGAGGAGAGGCCTTTAATTAGGAGAAGGATACACTGGAATGCCAACAGTAAAAAAAAAAATTGACAGGGGACGGGGAAGCAGGCGAAGCAGGAGAAAAGAGAGCATACAAAGTCCTTGGATGTTTTAATAAATGATGTATCTGAGGATTATTTGATGTAGTTGAGACTGCCAGGATGTCTTATATTTTCACTACCACAACTGAAACTTATTTAGGATTTAAAAAAGAACCTTTTTGAGGTAAGGAATTTATTAATAATTTCCTGTAACTCCTGTCCAAAATGCTGGCATAATTTTCTTTTGATAAAATACAGACTTCTGGAAGTACATAGAAATCCCACAGCTTCTGACGTGACTGCAACTTGGAGCAGAGTTTTGAAGTTTGGAATTACTACCTTGGGTTTGTCAGAAAGGTTTTGAATACCTGTCTGGTGCTGGGCCCGTTACTTGCGTTTCTCTGCTGCGGCGAACGGCCTGCTGCCCCTCGGCAGGGGCCGCGTGCTGTCCGGAGCCGCGCGGTCAC